TTATGCTGTCGCACGGGGAGATATGGTGATTTTTCTTTCTTTTTTAAAACTTAAAATCGGTTTCCTGTTTGAGGGATGGAAAGAGACTTGCAGAACAACAGGATGCCATCGGACTTGACAGGGACGAAGGAGCCCCGAGTGCAACGATTCCGACGGTGTGCGCTTACCGTTGCGGCGAGTTCGCGGTTGGTAGCCGCGACCGGACGATCAAGTCGGCGAGCACGCTGGCATTCTGATGCATGCGCGATCCGCGTCGGGTGGCACCACGGTTTCGCGAGGGTCGGTCCTAACGATGCGATGGAGGAGACGGTCGACCGATTGTGACAGGATTATCGATGGGCGATCGTTTCTCGGCCGACTTCCGCGAATTTCCAGGAATTGGAGTCGATTGCAGCGGAGATGCCAACGCCTTCGAGTAGGATGTGAATAAGAACTCAATTTCCGAGGGATACTATCGAATAAGTAATGCAAGAATTTTTTTTTTCCGAGAGAATTGCCTTCTCCTTCAATTGGTTTAAATTCCATCTCGACTAGATCTAGTAATGAAAAGTTGTCAACGTTCAAAACGGGGGCTGCACTTACGACTCACCCTGTACATTTGGAACGAGGACAGCTACAATGGAACAACTGGCCATTGTCTGCAAGTGACCATAGAATAGAATCACTTCCTGTTTTGGGAAAGTCATCCTGTCGCGAATCCCAGTGGGTGAGTCAGCTGTGTTAGGACTGAGGAAAACTTTCTTCAGCCACTAGTGCCCAGTGGGGATTCAACCAATATGGCACTTCGGCAACATAAGGAGCCTTTCTTATTCTTCCCTCGAGGCAACATCTCCTGTCATCGTGAAAAACTTTGCAGACACGAACGAGGTCAGACGTCAATTCCGAGTGGATCCTCCAGGCTTTCATCCAGGATCAGAGAAAGGTCGGTTTCTCCAACTCCAGGATGCCATATCATAGCCACACCCAGCAGTCCATTCGTGAGCTTGCCAAAGTCTCGACATTCATGTTGCTGCGTTCCAGATGAATGGGGGAATTTTGTTTTTGGTCCACCACCAAAACGAACATTTGTAAGGTACAGAATTAGTGGTGCCAAAATATGTCAAGTCGATTGATAAAAAAGAAGTGTCAGTCCTCAAGAGATTTATCAATGGCTTTTATGAACTAAAAAACTATTTCCAGTTATATCCCAATCCTAACAAAACCCTCAATCAGGACCAGAGGTAGAGCATTTATAATTTACAATGTCCCAAAATGTTCTCAGTGTATGTCATCCTGGTAACCTTGATTGAAAAGAATGGTTTGGAGGATTTATTTATTTCTCCTCATTTCCAAGCAGATCTCTCTCAACATTCAAAAAAGCATCCTGAAGGATACAGATAAGTAAATAAAACAAAGATTCACTAGGGAGATTTGACTAGGGAGAACATGATTGACCTAAAAAACCAAAAAACTGGAGGAACATGCCCAAAGAGAACGGCTGCGACGGCATGCAGGTCCGCAGACGGGCAGTGACGCATCGGAAACGGATAAGCACAAAGGGGACTGTGACGGAGACTGCCTTGCGACTCGACTAATGCTTAGACGGGGTGACGGAAGTTCTTCCCGGCGTACTTGGCATTACCGCCCAGCTCCTCTTCGATGCGGAGAATCTGGTTGTATTTAGCCAGGCGTTCAGATCTACATGGTGCTCCAGTCTTGATCTGCAAAAAGAAACAAAAAGTACATAGAAAAGAGAAAAAATGTGTTATTAGTCCAGAGAGATATACTCATATCAGAAGTCAAATATAGAAGGTCCTGAAACAATCAACCAACCACTGCATGTACTCACCTGGCCGGTGCACAGACCGACAACCAAGTCAGCAATGAAGGTGTCCTCAGTCTCTCCAGATCGATGAGATACCATTGTCCCCCATCCGTTCTTCTTAGCCAATTCATGAGCCTGCAGAAATAAAAGAAAATAAATACTGCATGCAGGCCATAGTGGCTTCAGAACAGAATTTGCACTAAAAAATATGGGGGCATGTCACCTCAAGTACAAATGCTTTTATCATCATCTAACAACAATAGCGAAAAGACCCTGTACTCAACATCTCAGAAAAGTTGCTTAGCTCATACCCTCTCCTTTTTGGAAACAATGTAAATATCTGGTTACTGACATGATAGAGAATTGGTGCATACCTGATTCTCGTGTGAGAATCACATAAAACTTAGCAAAAGGTAAAAGCAAGATTAGCGACCTGCAGCCACTATGCTGGCTGTTGAATGTGTGGAAATTTGAAAATAAAATGAAATAAAAATGTGAAGCAGTTCAGTACAAACCAAACATTTAAAATTTACATTGTCTCTTTGAATTGTTTAAACCATGTCTCAATCAAATCTAGCATTACAAAGTAATGATTTTCAAAAGGTGGACAGGACTCTTGACACACCCTCTAGTAATTGCCATCTACTGGGCGATTCTTTTAAAAGTAGATTAAAAGTTTACCAAAGTTTGTATGGCCTAGCCTATGGCCTAGAATGGCATAACCTTGTAGGCCTTGCATGTTATGCCACGGATGAGTGGCAACATTCACCACCGCTTTTGGCCCCAATGTTTTTCATGTTTATGGCCTAGCCTATGGCACAGAATAGCAGAGACTAGTAGGCCTGGTGCTTTAGGCCATGGATGGCATAGCATAATAGGCTTCACATGTTAGGGGTTGACAGACACCACAACTTTTGGCCTCTTTCAATTAAAGTATTAAATTGTCCCTCACATATCAAGCAAATCATGGTATGCCACCACACCTGTTTTACAACCATCCACAAAAACTCTAGACTGACCTGAATGGCCTCAGTGACAGAGCCAATCTGGTTGACCTTAAGAAGGAGGCAGTTGCATGCCTTCTTGTCAACTGCCATCTGGATTCGCTTGGGATTGGTCACAGTCAAGTCGTCGCCCACGATCTGTCGAGATTCCAAGTCACCCTCAAAAAATTATATTCCATACAACTGGTCATATTCAGGAAGGGGAAAGAGACCTGGATGTTGACACTCCCGCAGATTTTCGACCAGGCATCCCAGTGATCCTGGTCGAAAGGATCCTCGATGGAGACGATAGGGAAGTCCTTGATGAACTCCTTGTAGAGATCAGCTAGCTGGTCTGGCTGCAGCCACTTAGACTTGTCAGAATTTGGGTTCTTGAAGTCCAAGTCATACAATCCATCCCTGAAGGATGAGGGGGAAAAAAGGAAATAGTTTGAAACTTCATAAACTAAAATTTGGAAACAACCAAATTTTATCCAAGTCCTTAAAATTTTCAACACAACTTACCTATGGAACTCCGAAGCAGCCACATCCATGCCGATGTCGATCTTCCCGGTGTACCCGGCAGCGGCAATGGCATCAGAGATCAGCTGCAAAGCTAACCACAAAACGATCATTTAAACACACACTAGACCAGAAAAATGCTTTGAATGCAGGACTGTTAGCAGTACACCACTGACACCTACCATCCTTGTTGTTGAGGATGTTGGGGGCGAAACCTCCCTCATCCCCAACAGCGGTGGCATCGAGGCCAAACCTGCCCTTGATTACCTTCTGCAGGTGGTGGTAGATCTCAGAGCCCATGCGCATTGCCTCACTGAAGCTGGTTGCCCCTTAAGATTAAAGAAAGTCACACTTTCAAGACTTCCTTCACATCTTTGAGCAAAAAAAAGGGTTACTTTTCTGCATGATTTGCCTTTTTCTATCAGCATTGTCTCAAACTTAATGAAAACCAAAGAAATTGACATTTCCTTGATGATACTAATATTCCTACAAAGACCAAAATCTCCATCTGATGTGGAACTACATGCTCCTCTTCACCTTTCCGAGCTAAACTAAAAACTAAAACTAAACTAAAACTAAACTAAAAAAACTAAACATATCACTTTAGAACTCAATATAAATGGTTATAAATCCCATTGCAGTCACCAAATTAAAATTGTATCCTTGGTTACAACAGCATTCATACAAGCTCAAATAACTTTCCATGAGTCCTTGACGCCAAACCTATCTTGACCAGGAAAAAAGTAAAAAATTTTAAAATTACTCAAATTGAAGGAATTATTCCCTAGTCCTACTCCCTGATTAATATCAAAAAGGAAATAAGCGACCCCATTGAGCAGCATTAAATTCCAAAAAAGGTCATATTTATGATACCAGTAGGAAGGATCATGAATTCCTGCATGGCCAGTCCATTCCCAGCATGAGAGCCTCCATTGATGACATTGAAAGCAGGGACAGGGAGGATGACATCCTTGTTGCCCGCCAGCTCGGCGATGTACCTACAAGAGGGGGAAAACAGCATTTAAAACCCATCTCATGAATTCCTCACGGTCGCGAGAGAATGCCAAGAGCCCACGGGGTCACCTTTATCGTGAATCCCTGCCTACTAAAGAGATCCGCTCCAGTCGCAAGGGACAACACAAGGTCGAAAGGGAAATGCATGGAAAAAATCACCTATAGAGCGGGAGGCCCTTGTGAACGGCTCCGGCCTTGCAGACGGCAAGCGAAATGCCCAGGATGGCATTGGCTCCGTACTTAGACTTGTTCTCGGTCCCATCCTGCTCCAGCATGAACTTATCGATGGCCTCCTGCTGGGTCGGGTCGAAGTTCTGCAGGACACAACGAGATACCCGGGATGATCTCACGAACCTTCGTATTACGCTAAAAATTCACCTATTCTAATCTTCAAGTTAGCCATTTTACAATCTCCATTGGAATTTCACTCCTGCACAAACTGACAAAAATAAAAAGACAAATTACACTAGGTTAAGTCGTTCTAGAAAAACACAAAACATCAAAATCAGAAATCACCGGTAAGCAACAACCGAAGTCCTCTCGACCGCAAAAAAAAAAACCGCGACCCACCTTCGCCACAATCGCCGGTCCCAGCTCCTCGTTGACATTCTTGATGGCCGTCTTGACCCCCTTCCCATGGTACTCCCCCTTGATCTGATCCCGTAGCTCCAGCGCCTCGTGCACCCCCGTGCTCGCCCCGGACGGCACCGCCGCCCTGAACAGCCCCTTCTCCGTCACCACGTCCACCTCCACCGTCGGGTTCCCCCGCGAGTCGAAGATCTGCCTCGCCTTGATCCGCTGGATCCCCATTTTCAGCTTATCTGCGATTGCAAGAGCACGACTACTGGGGAAACCGACCGGGAAACGTCGATTCAGATGGAGAGGCTGCAATACTCTATTATTAGGTTCACCTAGGCCTACAGACGAGCGCAATTCTTTACTTAGGCACTAGGCCAATCCTCACACTCGCGAATTTAGGCTTACATCCCCTCGAGACACACGCAACATTGTGAAAAATGTCTTTTTCGAGGCTAATTTCACAGCGCTATATTTCTTCAAAAGGATATAATTTATGTTTATGCTAATTAAAAAATTAAAATGACAAACTTCCTAGTAGCTTCGTGAGAAGCATCAGCAGAAAATATAATAAATAATTATTCATTTTTGTCTTCCCTCCCCCCATCATTTAGCAGTAGCTATTGAGATCAAATACACAAACAGGATGGAATAAGTTCATATGGCTGGAATCAATTTACTGTGGATATACAGTCGACTCCACTCTAGTGGTCGTCCTCCACCACCCCAACCCCCCCCCCCCCCCCCCCACGAGAAGTAATTGACGAAAACTTGGCTACGCCACTGGCAGCCACAAACGGCATTTCACGAATAAATCGCGCACGAGAGCTTGATCCATAGCGAATCTGATAGACGCGTCGGTCATAAGACACGCAAGATGGACCGCATTTCCCAATGACCATTCTGGCCTTCCCCCCTTTTCGCGGTCGTTAAACCGGGTCCGCTCCAGCAGAACCGCCCGTGTTAGTCACGGTCGCTTCGGTGGTTCAACCGTGTGAGCGCAGACGGGGGCGATTAGCGAAGCCATGAAGAATGCCATAAACTACTGAGACTCGGCATCTCCTAACACACACACACGTCTGCTAGACGTGCTCGCAGGAACGGTCAGAGGAGAGAGAGACAAGAAAGAGGAAACACGGTAAGGTGTGCACAGCTCCCAGGCGATTACATGGTGCAGTTTAATTTTGATACAGAGATGGCGTTGGTGCAGATATATCAGTGGCACTTCCTCAGCGGTAGACAATAGCACCACCTCCATCACATTCTTGACTTAACTAATGTTCCCAAGATGAACACTAACCCTTAGAACCATTTGCATCTCCCACAGTCGAGCTCCCTCGTGTCGAATCCGGACTCGGGATCTGGAGCATTCCCGATCGGTCTCCTCGACACGTGCAACCCTTAACCAGCCCTTTTCTATTATCTTCCAACCCTACACCTGCAGTGATTCTAAAATGATTCATACCACCTTTCATTAGGTCTATGAAGCCCAAGTTAATAATGGTGGAACAAATTCATTTGCAAATCAATGCAAACCTAACTTGACCATCAGTGATGAACTCAGATCCACACCCAGGAAACTAGATGATTGCATTCAATACATCAGTGCCTAAAGAGGCATCTTAGCTGACCACTATCTGTAGAGAGAACACCTACATATTTTTATATCCTATCTGGTGTCATACAAGGTGTGATGCAGGCATGATCCCTGTATCACATTGCAGATGCATCCTAGAAATGCTGAATGAACAACTTTCTGGGCCTTAACTCTGCCTTCAGCTAGAATTTCCTCTCATCGAATCTGATCTGCCTTCGAGATCCAAATGGAATCCCATACAGAGGCGAGTGCCGGTCAGAATCTGCCTACAACACTGAGTGTACGGACTTTTTCCTGAAGGGAAAGTCCCCATGACATTCCCTTGACCATTCTATTGAAATTCATTATTTTAATGCTTACTCCATCTGTAAATCAGCTTGTCAATGAGACATTGCTATTCAAATATACCATAAAACCAAGAAGGAATCATCAATCATCTTTTCCTTATGCCATCCACCAAATTCTTTGACATTCTGGGGGTAACAAGAGACCTTGTAAAAATTTCCACAATTGGGCATGGGATGATCATAGGAAGTTAAATTCAAACTTTTCATGACAAGTTTAGGAAACACTCGATTCAAGTGAGACTCATCCATCTCGTACAGTTGTCAATGACCACTGGAGAAAACACAAACACTGGGCTTGTAAATTTAGGACAAAGTTCAAGCTGTGGCCTTTGCCCCTGAAAATCCTCCAAAAAAAAAATCAAATCTGGCCTTACTTTCAACTTGCTTTATATATTTTTTTACTTTCCAATTTATAAACTATTATTTGAAATTGGGAGGGATTTCTGCTGGGGTCAAAGATGAGAGTAATAACCAGTACAGGATCTTGGTTTTCTACATATACATAGGCCTAGGTCATATCCGTTGTAAGACTAATCCCATCAGGGTGTGCTTATCGATGAATATCAGTTCTATGTCCTCTCCCCCCGAAATAAATAAATATGCACTTTTTAAACGACACGAACAGATTTAAATGGTTTTCAACCCACAGCATAAACGGGCCTAGGCTTAGAATATCTCAGGTCTAAAATAGGCAGGCAGGCTCGGCCGAGACTCCGAGGGCCCGCCGATCGATCGGCTGGTCTGCGTCGACCGGGTGGCTGGTCTCCGCCGGGCGAGCCCGTTTCGTTCGAGGGCCTACTCGGGGGGGGAGATGAACGGGGACGGTGGAAGACGAACCTGAACCGAAGCGGCAAAGTCCGGTGAAACCTCAGAAGGCAGGCCAGAGAAGACGGAGGGTGGAGCAGCCCGGAGAGAGACGGCAGACAGGGACCGACCTTGCGAAAATAGCCAAGGACGTAGGGAAAGCGGCTGGAGGACGAAAAGAGGAGAGCGCCGGCACTCGCGTCTGCGTGGCGAGTCGCGGCCCTCCACGCGTGCGTCGTTCTTCCTCTTCCCACTCCCTCCCTCCTGCGAACGGGTCACGTGACTTCCCATTCGTGACTCTGTTCCGTGTCACATTGGGAGTTTGACCCCGAGAAGGACATGAATGGGGTGTGAAGGGAAAGCTGGAGTTTTTCTTTACGTGAGAAATGTATGCGACTCATATAAAACTTCACTTTAGATTTAACAAAATTTTGTCCTTTTAGGTTTGAAAATGAAAAACCTTTTAATTCATATCTTAATGGAACAAATCACCATGGTGTGAAATGGTGCAAGGGAAACCCAACACTTTTCTTTCGCTTATTTTCAACGCCTCGCTCCAGGCGAAAGGCTTCCTTCCGTGGAAACACCTTCACTTCGGCTTCTCGCACTCGGGGAAAGACGCCTGGACACGGTTTATTCAAGTGAAAGAATCCCAAAATTTCAGCACTTGATTTTTTCCCAACGAGTCTGCATCGAACCAGTCTGAAATTAGCTTCTTGCGCCAACTTCGTATTTTAGGCAGAAAACTGAAGGCTAAAAGCCCGAAGAAAATTTTTCTAAAATCTCCCAACGGGAATGAAGAAGAGGATCGCAGAGCAGTAAAAACTTTTCCGGTTCGTTTCGACGAATCGGCTTGAGAAAGTGCAGGAGCAGTCGGTTTCGGACTGTTGGGTCTCGTCTAAGTTCAGTGGCAATGATATACTGATGAGTGCTTCGTTCTTGAACTCGAAAGTGAAATTCGGATGGATCCAATATGGCGGACGAGTTACCGGATTCAACGCGGAACGAGGTGGATATTGGCTGGGCAATGCAAAAATGCAGATTTTTCCGTAGAAGTCTATCAGGGCAAAAGGAACGATGTTTCGAATGTCGAATGTTGGGTTTTCACTCCTGTCTGAAGGTGAATGTGAGGTTTTAACTGTCATCTAATGGTGTTCCTAATTTTTCACAACTGTACATGTGATATATTTCACTGATTCACATTGCAGGGTGGCTGAAAGTAGTAGATCGCTTTATTGTTCGGCACAGAATGCATGCAATTAATGATCAAGATCCAAGCAGAAAATATCTGCTGGCGAAATTCTCAATGCACAGCCATGAAGCAGCGAAAAATCCTAAAGGCAAAAGCACCATGATCTTCCAAGTACGCATTTTGGTGAAATCTCCCAACTCTGCCGGGGGAACTTGCATCCCAAAACAATTCAAGTGTATTATTCAAGTTTTTCAAACTTGGGTTTCATTTTGGATGCATCTTCTTTTGCCCAGCTCCATATGTACGATAACAAGGCGATTAGAGAGCTACAAGGTGGCCAACCTATTAAATTGCATTATCTAATGGTGTCCATGGGATAAATGGGTAGCTAAACACCAAAGTTTGAAATCATCTGACATTCGAGTTCTTTGACCGATGATGCATCTGTGACCTTTGACTTTAATGGCTGCAGGTGTCAAAATCAAACACGAGATGAGGTAAGATAAAACAAATCATGTAATCACTTCTCAACCACCCTGCAAAACACAAATGCACATACTGCATGTGTTCTACAATCATGACATCCAATCCCCTCCTTACAGCCAGCTTTGATAAAAGTCTCCATTTGAGTTTGGCCAACAGGACTGAAATCACCTCCCTCCTCCCTTACAGTCAAGTGTAGAGAGGAAAACAAAATGAAGCACCAAGGAGGAAAACAGCCAAAACCATCCATTCAAAATCGATTACAGGACTAGAATATGCACACATATCCGATAAATGTGAGATCAAGTTGAGAGACTTTTGGCTGGATTTTCATTTCTTTTCCAAACTCTTGAGCTTGGCTTCGAGCTTCTTGGAATATGCATCTAACTTGTATGCTGCCTGCTCCAATTTCGTCACACTCTCCTCGATCTGATTCAGTTCCTGCAAGTATGGCTGCAAGCTGGTATCTGAGAGGAGGAGACAAGAACATCATTCGTTGGTCAATTTTGAAGCAGGAATTGGAAGAAAATGCACACCATGGACTGACATTTTTCATTGAGAACCTCCAGGGATTTGGCAACGTTTCCTGTGATTTGCTTCATGTCAGAATACTTGGAGATGGTAGCCTTGTTCATCTCTTCCAGGAGGCTGTAGTCATCCTGTCAATGAACAAAATGAATTTGCATCAACCATCAGTGGATAGGCTAAATTCATGACACTGGTAACAAAAACTATTCAGCATTGATTAAATTCAAGTGTAAACTTCAGGAGGCATGCAGCTTGTCTGATTCAAAAAACTTTACTTTATCCCTCCCATAACTTTTTAAATAATGCATCAGCATTTAGCTGGCACTGCTGACTGCCTGAGAGTGAATCCTGTTCTACTACAAGTTAAATCTATACAACCATGCTTCAGACTACCTCAGGCAGCGTTAACCAGATTTGAAGGGATCAAAGCTTGTTTGTTCTTACATAACAAGCAAGAAGAAAATGAAAACCTGTGTTGGCTGAAGAAAAGTACGGACAAGTAAAAGTAAAAAGACAAGTATTAGAGAAAGTCAGTTGCAACTGAGTTGGAAAGGATGGATACAAAATTATCTTGATGCATGCCTGAATCCTGTTGAAAAAAGGAAGAAATCAATGGATACAGCATTTCTCCAAGGAGAAAAGGCTCACTTCACAGGTATCTATCAATAAGTACTAACAATAGAAGAGATGAATTTACCAAATCCCATTATTATGGAAGAGTGTGCCAAATGCATGGGCAGTGGACGACATAATAACGCAGATATGAGCATCTCAAGAGAATTAACTACTGAAAATGACTCCAAGAAGCCTCAGAGAATTCTATATAACTAAACATGCACATGCAAAGAAGAGGTGGGTATTGTAAACCTTGGTCCCTAGTGCAGAAGTAATGGTACAAGAAATAAAAATCTGGGCAAGATGGTTGAGATTAGCAACTGGATCACAGATACAGATCATGAGCCTCTTGAATTAAAATAATCCAATTTCTAGCAGGTTTTCGCAGGCTTGCCTTATAGAATATGACTTAAAATAGCAATTTTTTCTTCACAATCAAATCAATGTATAGAATCCACATTTTCAATATTGAAGAAAGGGCATATAAACATTATTTAAATTTTAGTATTAGGCTCAGTAATTGAAATGAGCAAATTAATAAGTTAGCTGAATTTTTTGTTCAGGTACACTCTTGCATTCTGTTTTCAGCTTCTTATCATTGAGGTTACCAACAAGAACTGATTTTTAGCTGTTTCAGCCAGGTGACAAAAGTAAGAAAGAGCAAACCTAGGCTTATGGTGAAGTGTGAGTCAGTTGGAGGTTAGAGTCATCTGAACCACCGTTGCAACTATTTTAAAACTCAATCAGTTCGGGAAACTGCAATATTTACTTAAAATTTTTATCAACTACATGCAAATGATATTTTTCTTTAACATAAAATCTGAAATATGGACATTCATGGTCATTGAGACAAATTTTATGTATTTTCCATGACCTCAAAACTTCATACTACCATTAAATTCAATTCTAAGTTCATGCATACAGTACAGGCAACAATAACTATTAAGTGTGATACATCTCATAACCCTATGTTCATGGAGATCTATAAATGAGGTGCTATGATAACCTGCACTTCTGCTAATGTTACATGAATCTTGGGCATGTAAGTGCTTTTATACCAGATGAAGACTTCAGGCTTAATTTCTGCTTCCAAATTCATTTAGCCCTTTCATGCCAAACAGTAATACATTTTTTTCAGCTTACTATTTCTAATAGTCCACTAACAAATGATTAGTTGTTTTGTTTTTTGTTTTTTTAACATGACAATTTAAAGAAAGCATGCATGTTTTCTTTTTCCCTGTCAAATCCAGGAAAATAATTCAAATATTTTTTTATTTACCTAAAACATAACTTGGGCATGAAAGAGTTAAGGTCATGGATGTAACCCTCTGTAACAACTGGGTCTACATAAGTGTCAAGGAATTGGGAAACAGGTAATTCTAATGTAGTCCTCAAAAGTATCCATTAAAAAGACTCATAAAGGACTCCCAGTTCTGCAAGTCCTAACCCTTTCCAGTCCATTTTATTTATAATGCTATGGAGATTGTCGGACTAGGACTTCAAAGGGTTAAAGATGTCAAAATACCCATATCCACATCTAATTCTTTACCTGAAAAGGTGCAGATGGCTACTGACTGAGACAATAAATCTTCCATGGACAATTACCCCTCTAAACTTCACATTGGAGAGGTAACAAATAATCCACCAATTCAGTTACCTGATGTGGATATCCAGCAATGCTTCAAATTGTAAAAGGGTAGAAGGCTTGGATTGTTTATCCCTTATGGCTGAGAGATACCAGAAGAGAATGGTATAATAAGATTTAGATTGCTTCAATTGAGCAAGATATACATTTTCAGTTAAATATTGACACATTTAGAGGAGCATCTTCAGAGCACAGGTACTCCAAAAAGACCAAAGGGTCAAATTTTAACTTCAGACCATACTCTTCACAACTCCATCTGATCCCCTAATCAGACATGCTGCATGAATCTGCACTTTTTTGCTTTTAGGTGATGGAGTTGAAGGAAATTCCTACTCACACATATGTGAGCAAGTTCCCCTTGAAGGTATTCAGCAAGCTTTTCAAATGCTGTCCGAGCCAAGCTGTTGAGCTGAGGATTGTATGTCTCCAGTGGTTCTCTGGGCGAATTGCTTCGTGGAGAAGGACTTCCTGGAAAAGGAGGCCAAAACTTTCTTTAACTCATCATTTTCAAGATTGAACCGAAGGTGTATTAAAAAATTTTTAAATCATAGAGCCTCAATAGTAACACCATATCCTTACCTTCCGGATCGTTCGGACTGTGCTTATCATCTGATTCAGCATGAGAAACCTTGGTTTCTTCTTCTGGTTTGGGTTGCGTATCGCCCTCAACTTGGGGCTCTATTTTAGGGTCACAGGTAGCCATATCCTTGTCTTCGGTGGCCTTCAAGATTTCAGGCCTAAGTTCAATAAGGTCGGAAACCGATCGTTTACGAAGCGCCAAGCAGGTATTGTCCAAAACGAAAACTACCCCTACAGACTTGAGAGAGGGAAGGCGCTAGGAAAGCTTCTGCAATCTGCAGCCACCACAACAGCTGATAAAAGATTCGCAGGTGTCCAGCATGCTCATCTAACCAGGCGATCAGCAGTGATGTCGGATGGTGGCCGCATTTAATCTTTGTGCCATAATGTAAATAACGAATGAATGAAGAGAATATAGGGAAAGGGAGCCCATATTCAATTGTTTTTCTCGCGATGCATTAAAATAATGGTGTTAAAAGTTGGATGATCAAGGCTTCATGAAGGTAGGCCAAGTTGTTCCCGCTTGGTGACTCAGTCCCACCCCTCCGTATCCGATCGCCCGAGCGGCAAGATAGCAGCACTGGTCTCAGTGCTTGGCAGAGTAGGGCATGGCGCTGCTCAGCGTTCCGCTACGTTGAGCGTCATAGCCATCCTTTCGAAGATGCGACTCATTCTCTCGGTAATTTGCTCGTTGTGATATGGCCATTCATACATGCTGGCTGTGATTTACGTCTCTTTTCCGACTTGATCACTAAATCAACCATAGTTGGGAACATTATTGCCTGATCAGTTTCATCTATGACCTCGCTGGCATTTCACCTTGGCTTCTTGCTCGCCGCGGCACTGCTCGGCAGTGTCGCGTCGGTCGATGAAGACTATGGAGAACTGAAGCTTGTTCATCTTGTAAGCTGTTTTCCCATCTTTCATTAATCTACGACTGGCAATTCTGGGGTATAATTTTGACATTTGAGCGTCTTCTCTTCGCAGCTCTACCGACATGGCGACAGAACTCCGATTGACTTTTATCCCAATGACCCATATCAAGACCCAAAGTACTGGCCTGTTGGACCTGGAGAACTCCTAAATGTAAGCCCATGATGCAATGGCCTTTCTTTGGTATTTAAATTTCATGATAATTCATTCTTGTCATGTACTCATGCAGGCAGGGAAAGAGCGTCAATATGAACTGGGAGAATTCCTCAAAAAACGCTATGAAGGATTCCTGAGTCCAATGTACAGTATACCAGAAGTCTATGTGAGAAGCACAGACTATGACCGCACACTGATGAGTGCACAGGCGAACTTGGCTGGACTGTTTCCACCTCAGGGAAGCCAGATTTGGAATCCAAATATCTCCTGGCAGCCCATCCCCGTTCACACAGTCTCGCCATCTGATGACTATGTGAGTTTCATCTAATGTAGGGCCCTCCAGCTTGACCTTAGATCCCTCTCTCTCCCACACATGGAGTCTCAGTTGACTCTCACTCTCACAGCTGCTGTCCCCTGACTCCACTTGTCGTACAGCAACTGATGAACTGGAGTCCTTAAAGTACAGGCTTCCCTTTGTTGGAGAGATGGTAGACAGAGCTGAGAAGCTCCTGATGGGGATTCAGGCCGACACTGGCTTGACCCCGCATGGGAATGTTATCAGTCAAGTGGACTATCTGTCAGACACATTGAAGATTGAGGTGAGAATGGTTTCATGCTGATCTGATTTCTTTACATATAGCTTTTGAGGAACGACGCCCCATGCCCAGCCGCCGAGCAGGCTCTCGACGATGCGCACCGGCTTCCTGAGGTCCAGGCATTGGAAAAAAAGTACAAAGGACTCCTAGAATATCTCAACCAACACACACATGCCAATTTCACTTCCATTCTTGATTGGAGAGATCTTAACAGTATCCTCTTCATCGAGGTGGGTCGTCGACATATGTTAAAAAAACTCTGGCCTCTGTGGGTTACATGAGTCCTTGGTGCTTGCTTCTTTGTTCCTGGTTGCATCCTTTGCATTCTTGCCTGAGGGGCAGTACCCCACTGGATCTGTCCAAATTGCAACATATATTAGGATTTTGTGCCCTGCATTTCCCCAATTTTCAAATTCCACAAGAGGGTGAAAATATTTCTTATTGTCATGCTCTTGTCATAATGCATCTTGTTATCGCTATCTTTATGTTGCCTACTTCATATCAACATCTTCAGCTTTTATCATCTCCAGATTCACATGGTTTATTCTGAGTGTTTTTCCACAATACTTTGGGAAAATATGAGATTTGGAAAAATGGTTGTGAGGCTTGCACAGGAAAGTCTATGTGGCCTGATTGCCTTTGGGGCATGAGTTCTTTACTTTAATGTGACTAGTTCTGGTATGGGAGAAGCCTTTCTTGGGAATGCTTCATTACAATAGTGGCATGAAGGAGGAATCAGTGTAAATTCCTTCTTTTTTTTTTTTTGCACCATTTCATACCCTTGCAGATAGCATTCATTCTTGCCCTGGAGTTATTTAGTATTTTTTTTTTACCTCATTACTGTGCGCTCATCACGAGAGATGAGTGTTTCATTGGTGGTTTTAATGTTATTTTTCAGTCTTCCTTCAACTACACTTTGCCAAACTGGACCCATGGAATATACCCTAATCAGACCAAGCCTATCTCAGACTTCAGCTTCATGTTGAAGTCTCTCACACCCACACTCAAACGGCTGCGGGGAGGTACAGCTGATAGTCTTTGAGTTCCCAGATTTGAGTACAGTTTTGTTTGAGTGAAGATTGCAAATTTCAGGTCCCCTGGTTTACACAATGGTGAAGAACATGGAGGACAAGGTAGCAAGGAAGTCAAGGATGGAGAAGCTGAAGGTTGTCATGTACTCAGGACATGACACCACAGTGTCCATGTTCCTTGGCTCTCTGAACATCTTTGATCCTCACCAGCCTGGATATGCCTGCTTGGTCACTGTGGAACTCAGAGAGAAAAATGCTGTCCATTATGCTAGAGTATGTGATTCAGACCTCACCCATGCTGGAAATCCTTCATTTTCCCACACCTTTGTAATCATCTGAGGTTCTCGGTTTGCACAGGTGATGTATCGTAACGAGACAGGGGACTACAACCTTCGCATACCTGGCTGTGATCACATGTGTCGGCTCGAGGAGTTTGCAAGGCTCACTGAACCGGTCCGCATTTCTCCGCAGCAATGGGGCATTGAGTGCCAAAATCAGCCTTCCATCTTCTCCTCCAACCTCCTCCTAGGTGAACTAAAATATGATATCTTCAACTAGTAATGTTCGACAGCAAACTCTGAAAAAATCAAGTATGATATTAGGAAAATTTTTGCACAAGTTGGCAAAACTAAGCCATGAACTAGTTTTTAGTGTATTTTATTTTACCTCAGGTAGAATCTTCTATTTGAGCAGATGTGAAGTCTTTGGTTTTCTTTCCCTAAGTTAAGTATGTATCAAATAGTGTGTGGCCTCATTTTTAATGTTCCTCTGCTTTCCTATTACAATTTTCTGTCCCTTTAAATTTCCCCCTTCCCTCCCTGATCCAAACCAAGTCAAGGATCTAAGAGTTGGTCTGTCTTTGTTTTTCCTTCAGTGGTGAACATATCTTGCCTCCTGGTCGTTCTGCTCATCCTGTCAACCACGCTGCTCGTGTTGTACTGGAACAAGCATCGGCAGGTCCGGGGCTACACGTCCCTCCCTTCCGCCGACGCCAGTTGACATCTTCATTTTCTTCTTTTTTTGCATTGACTCTTGTCTTTCTTGCTGGGCATTTGGTTATGACTTTTTTTTTTCTTTGTGTCTCATCTCTCTCCCTCTTGTCTCTTTGTCCCTTTCTTTATTTTGCATTTCTTCACTGCATTCTACTTTTGATTTATACCTTAAAGACAGGGGCCTTCCTTGAGAGTTTCACAATGATCTCTTCATGCTGCTGGCTGATCATTCCAGAGAACAATAAAGTATTCAACTTATTTTTGGATTAAATATTGACCTGTATCATTTCCATTTAAAAATGTGTATTGTGCAGCTGTCCTATCAACAAGGAACCTCTATCAAAGGTCGAATATCCATAAATTCATCGATGCACCTGATTTCCTGACACCATCTGAATTGTGCTAAGAAGGAAATGCCTGCAGTTACTGGATCACTAAAGATTCACAAATACTGCGATTCTAGCAGTGATACTGCTTCAGTGAAGGTTATGCTCCCAGCATGAAGCCAGTTTGGATCCCATTTCCCTGGACTGTCACTGGGAGCAAGACGTTAGGAGTGCATAAAGTTTTCGTCACTGCAATAGATCATTGCATATACCCCAAATGTCAATCTTTGGTAAGTTGTAATGGGAATAATATTGAAAAATGCTGGCTCCTTACAAATCTGAGTCAGCTTTCCTCAATTTCAAATGTGGTTCATCTATTCCTTTTCCACACAAGCCAAAAGAGGCCCAAGATCAGATTCCTAAAAGGGGGAGGGGCCTCAAAGTATGGTTTGCAATATTTTCTCCCCCCCCCTCTTCCCCTAGTATTGACTTAAGTATATTTACCCTTGCAGAAGTGCAGGACTGTCGTAATTTGGTCCAGTCCAAAAATATCTATCAACTAGCTTGAAAAAAAGAACCACTGGTCTAAGAACTAAGAAATTCTTGTTCAGCACAATACGAAGAATAAAGTTTATGATGTGAAAGAGAAAATGTTCGCGCGTCCTATTCCCCTTGACAATTCAATGATGGGAGAAGTTGAACCATAAATGCAAGAAAATCGTTTCTGATTCTGTACTACAATTCCTCAAGCATATTCTACAATTCCTCATACCCCTTACGGTAAAATGCACGCTCTCCCGCCGAACAGTTTGGAATGATTCCGCGAAACGATGTCTCCAGTGCGGGGGCGTGCAGCCTTTATCGGCAATGGATCGCATGGAAATGCCTGACTCTTCACGCCGGCCATGGAATGCAAAAGGCTCCCCTCTTTTGCCCTCAGAGCATATGAAGGGATAAGGTCGCTCTGATTGGCCGATGACCATAAAGATAAGTCTTCATCCCTAGAAAATTCCAAAGCTCGAAAATGGCCTTAGGCAACGAGAACCTCCTTCCTCGGGACATTTGCAGCACCTCCCGCGAGAGGAATAATTAAGGGATGGAAGTAAAAGGACTCAGTCTATTTCTGGTTACTAAGTGTTGACCAAAGTTGTGATGGGCCTTGAGTCCGCAACGAAACTTATTTCATCTCTTATCCCATCATGCATTACCGGGACGCAATAAGTTGGTCCACGGGCCACATGCGGCCCACGGCCCGCGGGTTGCACATCCCTGCTCCAGTGATTTTGAACTTCCGCTCTTGTGGCCTGTAGTTCGGAGTTGATCCGCGAGATGATGCCCCTGTCAGCCAGCATGGCGCCGTACAAGGGCCACACGTGACTTCTGTCGGCAGCACCCTCACTGTAGTGGCTCCCGCCCTGAACTCCTGAGTTGCGGCGTCGAGTATTTGGACCCAGGCGCAGAGAAGTTTGACCAGAGGTCAAGTTTGCTATTCGGTTACGCGAGAGGATGCCGACGAAGTACGTCGGGAGAACGACAGCATGGCAGGGGAAGAGAATCTGGGAGATCTTGTGCAATCTTAAGGACTTTGGGAAAGGGAGGTTGCTGACCAAAGGCATGTGGGAATTCAAATATCCCAACGAGATCTCGTACATAAAAGTCCTCAAGGCTGAACCTATCATGGACCAGGTGAGCTACTTATGTGTATAATGCATGACTTAGAAATAGATATAGGTATTAGTTGAAAGTTAGACCAATTAAGTCAGACTCATATAGATGAGTCTTTGCCATTCATTCGAACAGAAAAAGGCCTGTTAGGCCTTGTCTAAATAGGCATGTTACTAGTCGAGGGCCTCAGCCTGGGCTATTTATGATACCATTGCTTGGTCCCTTGCAAGATATGACTGTACTACCCAAAGAGAGATAACTTAGTAGAAGGAACATTGTCATCTGCAGCCTACATTTCAGTCCCTTTCCTTTCAGTGATGCTAGGAGTTATCTAAAAATTTATGCCTTCAGGTTGTGGAAATTATCAGAGAAGGCTGAAAGTTGGCTCCCTTATTTTTTCATCCTTTTTGGTAATTTCAAATGTTAAAAATTGCTATTAGCTGCATGTATCTTTTTTAATATTAATAATCAGTTATAAAATATGTTCAAGCCAAATATTATTCTATTTCAAAAGGGCAGAATTTGAAAGCATAGCAGTTATAACATTCTTATTTTTAATATGGATACACTTTATATCAATTTATTTATCCTAGCAAAACAGTTCATTCAATGTTGCAAATTTTAAGCAAAACTTCCTGTGAAGTGATGAGGAAGGTGAAAATGAATTCAATGAAGTTGTTTGAGCATTTTTAAATGACCATGGATAAGGAATATTTTTTCCATGAATTTGAAGCCCTGTTCCATCATTGGCATAAGTACCAATGTCCAGGGAGATAATGTTGAAAAAATGAAATTTGTCTCATCAGTCTATCAAATACCCTCATATGGTAGAAACTTTTGGATATCCCCTCATAGCTTCTTCAGCCCTCAAATGAATAGTTTTTTCAGACATATATGGGGCAATTGCAGAGCAAGTATGGACCCAGATGACTTCTCTTGTCTTCCTCTACAGGAAAATAAGTTTGGGGCCGTGTGGTGCAAACAAGTGTTTCGAAACCAACATGATGGTGAGAGGCTGATGAGAAAGGGGGTTTATTCACCCGATTGGAAACTTATTCACAAGGAGGATGAGCACAAATACCTAGAAGCACCAAAAGTAATCAGAGAAGAAAAAATCTTCCCTCGCCAGACACGTCCCCCACCTGCCATGGAGGTGATTTTCAGCTGATATTGTATCAAATTATATAGTAATTCATGGTGGCTACTTCTTTAGAACCTTGAAGAATACCATTTCTTTCCTGAATCAATGTATTTCTTGCTCTTGTTTAGGTCACTGTTTATTGTTTTCTGTCACTTCAGAAACATGCAGTCATAAATCATACAACTATTCCAGAATAGATTACCAGGACAAAATTGTCAAAGTAGTCAGGGGGGTTTTCATGTTAAGCTTGGGATATCCTGATTAATTTTTTTTCTGGCAATGCACATTTCCAAAACCTCTCACAATGCATTGATAATTTTACCTGGCACCACTATGTCTTGTGAAACTTGACTTTAGGAGCATTGGAACCAAAATTTCAAGGAACCTGTTGCAATAATGGAGTGGGAGTAAAGGGAAGGAGATACCATCAGGTTCATCTTGGCTATGAGTCACATCTTTTAGAGAAGGACAGCAGAGTTTGGTACTAATTTTATTTTTGAAAGCAACATGCAAATGTTACGTTTCTCCTTCTACAGTCCCTTGAAAGCAACCATAAATGCTTTAGAAATTTTTAATACTCAAACACAATAGGTTACAAGTATTGTGAAAGATCTTGAGACTTTCCACAGCAATCAACTTCTATACATGAAAGTATTGATTGTGGTGAGAATATAGATCTCTTTTTGATCATATTTTACACAGGAATCATTCCGTCTGGAAAAATTACAAGAGGGCATTTCAATCTCGGGCCCCATCTACATCGACATGTGTCTTTCTGGAGAGGGGAAGAGCAAGACAAATTACCGCAGGGCAAAGGAAACGGAAACACCCAATGTGACCATCGAGAAGCCACACAAAGCGTCGCCACATAGACTCTTCTATGACCATCTGGACTCTTATGAAGCGCCATTGCAGGACCGTAGTGAAACGTGATTTGTCTATTTCCAACTGATGTCAATGTGTAACTTTGAATGGAATGGATGTGAATGCCTTTTTCTTTACAATACAGTCCAATTTAAGGTAACAGACTGAAAAACTTTAGATATTTGGAGCCCTTGCCATCCTCTTCAGATTCTGTGGAACTCCTCACATCATCAAGGATCTAAAAATGGAAAGACTGAATGCATTTAAAGTGTACCATGAATTATGCACAAGGGGGACAGATAGATTGACAGGCCCCATTGAACTCTTTGGCCTTCATAATGGACTTTCTAATGAAACAGATCATATTAATGTGCATGAACCAGAGGCTGGAGAGGAGAGAAATGAAAATATAGTGGAAGTCCCATGCAATGCTTGTCCATATTTACAATTAAACTTGTCTACCACCAAACTGGAGTTTTCAACTACTGTCATCATTGTGCAAGTATCGCTTTCTAGTTTCCAGACAGTTTTCTGATTTCTCACCCAAAAACAATGCAATAGGGAAAGACAAGTCAGGTCCACCAGACCCACTGAAGAATTTGTCATCTCCAAAGTAAATTTAATTTTTTTTTGAGGAACATAGTGGGAGTCCACAGATGCAGATATCTGCAGTCCTAGCAATTCATTCCATCTTCAAATTATCCCCTATTTGAAAAAAAACAAAAAAACACTAGCCCATCAGCATTTTTCTTGCCCTGGGCTCATGCAGCTTTGTGAAGTTCCCCCCCAGTAGTGGAATGTGGATATGAATGGTGATAGCCATTCTCCACATAACAGATGCCTTTTTGCAATGAAACTTCTCACTGCTAGGCCTCTCTATGATGAGTTTTGCATAATGCTTTCTACAGGTTAGGTGAAATGAAGCATACGTAAGCTCCATATTGGTTCTCGTGTGAGAAATTTTCCACATGCATATATGCACAGATTCAAATGTTTTTGCCAATCCTGTGAAAGAGTTCTGTAGGCATCCTGTAATTTTAACTAGGGTTGGGCACTGTGTATTTTTGACAATATGTGATGGGGGGAATGAATTTTCTATGCTGCTATGCTGAATAGTGACACTAGAAAATTCAACAGCATGTCTGATTTGATTCTATAGCCTGGTAAATCAGTCATATACAGGCTATGGCAAAAGAATGATCAACAACTTTTGAACTAAATACCTCTGCTCACACTGGAACTATTTTTTCGTGAAACTTTTACTCTGCATATATGTTTCCAACTGATTTGCAATGTCTTCCTAATTTGTCAAGCTGAAGCAATATTTTCAGCAATTATTGAAAAGTAGACATCGAAAATGGACAAAGAATTCCTGCAGACAGCAGAGTGGATTAAACACTCGAGCGCCTCCTGGTCATCCAGACCAGGTCAAACTCCTCTTCTGTGTCAATTTATTCATGGGTCTGGTTGTCTCTTGCAGATGGTTTCCATGAGCTCATTCCCAATGAATAGCAGATTAATCTTTGAATATCAATCCAGAGATTTTCCTTAATGTTCTTTTAGAATCTCCCCTGTTTTATGTTAGCCTGAGTCTGCATGGTATGACAAAAAGACAAACAGCTTTGAGTGTATGACAAATTATACATATTGCCAAATTAGATAAGGATGTAGCATGGCTTTGTTTATTTGAAGGCCAACAAGGCCACAAAAATTCATTAATTCAGATCAAAGTTATATCTTATAAGTTGAGTTATAAGTTGACATCTATGACAAGTCTGACATTTGAAATGGACAGTTCCTCATGAATAATTAAAAACAAACGGAAATTCCGAATGAGCTTGGAGAGAACTCTCTGGATTGATATTCATTGATTCATCTACTAGTCATGGGAACAAACTCATGAAAGCCGTGTTCAAGAGACAACCGGCCCCATGAATGAATTCTAATGGGGGAGCTTGATGCCGTCCTTCACTGTCTGGATGACCATGAAGGGCAGTGAGGGAGTGTCCTTTGCTACCAGCAGGAGCTCTTGTCCATTCTCAATGTCTAACTTATTTTCAATAATTGCTGATAGTATTGCTTTGGCACTACACATTTGGGTGGTTGAGCTGGGAACATACTCATATGCAAAATCAAAGTTTTGCAAAAAAAAGAGCTCTGTTGTGATACTTCGAAATTTGTCTGTCATTTTCTTTCCATACCCTGTTCATAGGGTGTTCATAAAGTCCTTGGGCAACTTTAAACTTTAATAACTTTGAATTTACACACAATAGAAGTGAACTGCATAGCAACTTCAGCAAGCAAACATCCACGTGCAGAAGAACTGCATATGGAAGCATAAGTATTAAAGTTGTTTTAGAAATTAAGTATACATTTCTATGCCTCTACATAACTGTCATATTTTGTGATAAATCATTTAATCAATTTTTCAAAACCTTAAAAAAAAAAAAAACATTTTACAGCTTTTGCAAAGTGATTTCATGTTGGGAATGTCCTTTTTATGAGAAAACATCACTTTTATGGCATGGCCTCATAAAGCATGGTCCAGTGAGAAACTGGTCAGGTGAACAAGGTGGCCAAGGAATTAGTCAGAATGTGGGACAGTTCCAGAATGAAATTTCCCAGGGAAGTGGTTTGTTGGCAGCAGATGAATTGCTTCACCCCCTCATTCACCTGGCTTGTTCTCATGGGTCTAATTTTTTTTTTTTTTAAGCCATGCTAAAAGTGTTGTTTTTCTCATAAAAACAACTTTCTTAGGATGAAATTTTGGCCAGGATCACTAATGCTTTTCATGAAATCATGCAGCAACTACTGGAAAATGTTTTTGGCATTTGAAAAATCAACGAAATAAGGTAGTTATGTAGAGCAGTGTTTCCCAAACTGTGTGCTGCGGTGCACTGGTGTGCCCCCAGGAAGGCTAAGGTGTGCTGTGAGATTCGAGAGTTGACAACAAAAACTAAAAACCTAAAACTAAAAGAAAAACTTAAAAACAAGAGGGAAAACCATCTCTCAGTGGAAAACGAGCTTAGAGTTGCACTATCAGGCCTCGTATGAAGCCTCGTATGAAACTGCTGTGTTCAGCGAAGCAAGCACAAGTTTCCCATTGAAAATAAGTAAATGGCTAGGTGTGCTGTGGAAAGATCAAGTGTCTTTATATGTGCTGCAGACAAAAAAAGATTGGGAACCAATGATGTAGAGGTATAGAAATATATACTTAGTATGTTAAAAACTTCAATAATTATGCTTCCATATGCAGTTTACAGTTTGCTTCTATCATGTGTACATCCAAAGTTATTAAAGCTTAAAAGTGCACAAGGACCCGGACAAGAACACCCTCATATTTACACTGTCAAAAAAAATATCCCGCTTTATTTTTGGAATATCTCCATTTGATATTATGTAAGACTCGTGCATTTTTGCACAAGTGTGAATATGAAAGATTCCTGCCAAGTGTAAAATAATTCCACCCAGTGCTTCAAAGCAATAACTTTTAACATTTGAAGCATCAAAAATCACTGTGAACAAGCAAGTCTTCAGCTGGTTTTTGACAGGTGCATCATGCTGGCATACTTGAAAATGGCATCTCTGGCACCAGCAGTCTTGGCAAATGAATTGGCTCAGATGAATCTCTTTCATCATTTGAATTTCTATTACTACTAGAGGCTGGCAGTTTCTTTTTTTGCATGAAAAAAATATCGCCTCAAAATCTTACAAGTCTTATGCCTTTTTGCTCTCAACATATCAGATGAAAAAGGAAGCTTTCTGTCAAATTTATGCCAGTCACCCTTAAAAACCTGAAGCTTGTACTCAAAATGTTCAAATTCAGCATAAACTGTAAGTTCCACTTCCTGACTAAAAACCAATTCTTCCATACCCTTGACATTTTCACAGTTTGAGATGAGTGTGTGGCCTGCCACTTTCATTTAGTTTCAGTCAATACAGTTTCAGCAATTTTTTTAATGACTGATTCTCCAGATTTTTTCATGGAATTCCTTAATGATCCAATCAGAACTGCAACCCTTCATCTCACAAACCTTTGCTCAAGTGCTTTGCTGAAGAGTTTTGCCTTAGGCATACAGGAAATGATGGTAATCAAATATTAAAAATGCAACCTAAACATGAATAGACTTTTACAACATAGGATAAGTATTTAAAATATTTTTTTTAATTTCCTCACTGGGACTGACAGCTGTCAGTTCTCTATGAGATTGGAGCACATGGAAATGATGTCTTGCAGGCAGCATTAAGTAGATTGGTTGTTCACTGCTGTCCTTGAAATACTTGAACTTGTTATTGCATTTGAAGCACTGAGCTCCCAAGCACTGGGACCCAGGTTTGAATCTTACAAAAGCTTTATGCATCTTTGTGCAAGTGGAACTTCATTCTCAGTTCAATAAAGGAGACTTGAGAAATCCACCATAAGATTTCATTTTCTTGCAGCATGATCACAACACTTCAAGCAAGAGACACTTCAAGCAAGAGACACTTCAAGCAAGAGGAACCTCCTTCAAAAGAAGGAATCGTTGCGCACGATGCTCTCGGACGTCAGAGACATCCCTGGTGTTTCTGATGCCACCCGACAGGAGAGACCCGGTCGGTCTTGTGGCGGGGGTACGATCGCCACAAACTTGTACGGGTCGCCAGGGACAGAGGCCAGAACAACGTCCAGCAGCGTGAAGATGGTCACCGACTCGACCTCCTCCCCCTTCTCTTCCCCATCTCCCTGCTGCTTCTCCCAGGATAACAACAGCTCTGGGATCCCATCCAAGCGCTGGTAGTGGAACTTCTTCAAATCCAGTTTCTGCTCTCACAAAAAAGGGATAAAAATGCATATTATGTATCACATATGTATGTGAAAAATGCATTATTATGCAATGTTATTTCAAAACAAAGCATAGTTTACAAAACGCTTCTTCACTTGTTGCACTAATTCCTTTTTTGGAACTTGACTCAGAAAGACAGCAGAAGAAAATTAGCTTTAATAAATCCATCAGCCATGCTAAAAAAATTACTTATGACTTAAAGTCAACAACAGTCATAACAAGATCAAAAAGCATAGGTAACAGCTGTGAATAAAAATGAAGGGCCATCATGAATACACACATCAAGGTAGACTCGCTTGACAATTCCAAGCTGATAGATGAGGACATCGAGTGAGTGATCCATGACCGCAAGGACCATGCCCTTCGCATACACAGGTCCACACTGCCTCACGTATGCTGCCAGGAACAGTTCGCTGCTCATTTCTGAGCAACGTTTGGCAGCTTCCTTCCTTGTGTTGCAGTGTTCTGCAACCCTGCATAAGAGAAGAAAGTATTTCTCATTCGTCACTGCAGAGAATTAAACCTTGTTCACGATTTCATTTTGATGCATACCGTTGGACAACATATGGGTCCCATGTGGGTCTTTGAGTGTAACCAAGCGAGGCAGCCAAGAGTCGGTGCACGAGAACGTCTGGGTATCGGCGGATCGGGGACGTAAAGTGCGTGTACATCGGAACGTTGAGAGCATAGTGGTGAAACTCCGCTTCGTCTTGCTTCATCCCTGTGCAGAAGTATTTTGCCAGCTACGGAATAATGATAACCATGTCAAACCTTGAGGATATTATGCAGAATGAATGAATGATTATAAAATTATGCAAAATAAATCAATTCTGAAATAAAACAAAATAATAAGAAAACCTCACTTCCACATACAAGATGTTAAGAAAGTTGTGCCCTATTGCAATATGCCTATAACCTCAGCAAAAAAACAGAAGCCAGGAAAATTTTTTATGTACAATAACAAGGACAGTTAACTGATTTGATAAAGTTCAGACAACCCATGAAAGCATCGACTGATTTTTGAATGTCTTCCTGTGGAATTTGCTCCCATTCTCGGTTCAGGGATAGCTTGAGAGAATCCAAAGAACGGTGTTTTGTAGCACACACTTTGTGCACCAAGATGGACCAAATTGAAAAATCTAAATATGATGTTTTTCGAGCCACTCGTCAAGTCAAGGGGCAGCTCCTTTAATGGCCTCGCATCAAGGGACAGCTTCTGTAACGGTCTGGGCTCGGATAACTGCCTCTGGACACGCTCCGCTCGATTTGGAACCGAGAAGATGAAGGTCAATGCTGAGGTATACCAGAAAAGCATCCCGGTAGAACAACCCACAAATCATTTCAATGGAGGCAGCTGGGTCTTCCAGCAGGACTCAGCGCCAGCTCACAAGGTGCAGATGGAGTGGCTGCGGAGAAATGCCCCCGACTTCGTTTCGACTTCACAGTGGCCCCCTTTCACCCCCGATGTCAATCCCTTAGATTTTTTACTTTGGTTCATCTTGGAGAGCAAAGTATGTGCTACAAGACACCATTCTTTGGATTCTCTCAAACTAAACCCTGAACCGAGAATGGGAGCGAATTCCACAGGAAGACCTGCAAAAATGAGTCTATGCTTTTATGGGTTGTCTGAACCTTGACATCCATGCCAAGGGCAACCATATTGAAAACTATTAAGTGATTCTAAATCAGTTAACTGTCCTTGTTATTGTATAGAAAAAATGTTTTCCCATTTTCGTTTTTTTTTTGCTGAGGTTACAGGCATGTTGCAACGGGACACAACCTTCTTAACACCCTGTAAAATCTCATGAATAAATACAGGTCATATACTGGGAATAATTGAGAACACAATAACGACCAAGGGGATGTCGAAGTGCAAACCTGCATGGGCTTGGCAAAGAGGGAGACCAGAATGGCCAATCGAGCCTCGTTGAACTCCCCTTTCCCCGCGTACGCGTCGAGAGTGGTCTGGATGGCCGTCGACGAGGAGGTGTCGATCACGATCCCGTATGCCGCCAGGACCTCTCTCAGGTTCTCCAGCATGTTCTCCTGAGGTGGGACGTGATTCCGGAGGACGGCGACGTGGGGAAACGCCCGGTAGATCCGGTGGGCGGCAGCCATGTTGGCCAGCAGCATCAACTCCTCGATCAAGCGATTGCTCTCCTTCAGCTCGTAGACGAAAAACCCATTGGGCATCCCAGTGCCGTGGTCCAGCGTGAAGGAGAGCTTGGGCTGGTCCAGTCGGAGCGCACCGTTGCGAAATCGCCTCGCACGCAGTTTCTGACTGATGCCGTGCAACATCTTCACCCTCTCGTACACTTCTGCCAGGTCGTGACTCCCGGTCACCGGGGGGAAGGTGCATGCATCCAATTCCCGAAGGTCTCTCGCATCGATGATCGACTGCAAGCAAGGCCCGTGGCCATTTCAAATGTATATCTCACAAGTAGTGCATTAATACATCTCGAAAAGTAAAATGGAAAGCAGTATTTAAGTGATCGATGTGATTAAAAACAACTACTGTAATTAGAGAGTACTTCCCCAGTTTAAAATCCCGGCTGGAAACAGCTACATTTTCCAACTGGGCTCTAGCTGGAAATGAGATTGAATTTACCAGCTGGAAATTAGTCTGGAAACATAAAAAAAAGTGATCCGATCCAGCTGGTATCCAGCTGGGTAGTAGATGGGTTTGACCAGTTGGAACACAGCTTGGAAGCAGACACCATTTCCAGCTGGTAACCAGCTGGANACTAATTCCTTTTTTGGAACTTGACTCAGAAAGACAGCAGAAGAAAATTAGCTTTAATAAATCCATCAGCCATGCTAAAAAAATTACTTATGACTTAAAGTCAACAACAGTCATAACAAGATCAAAAAGCATAGGTAACAGCTGTGAATAAAAATGAAGGGCCATCATGAATACACACATCAAGGTAGACTCGCTTGACAATTCCAAGCTGATAGATGAGGACATCGAGTGAGTGATCCATGACCGCAAGGACCATGCCCTTTGCATACACAGGTCCACACTGCCTCACGTATGCTGCCAGGAACAGTTCGCTGCTCATTTCTGAGCAACGTTTGGCAGCTTCCTTCCTTGTGTTGCAGTGTTCTGCAACCCTGCATAAGAGAAGACAGTTTTTCTCATTCGTCACTGCAGAGGATGAAACCTTGTTCATGATTTCATTTTGATGCATACCTTTGGACAACGTATGGGTCCCATGTGGGTCTTTGAGTGTAACCAAGCGAGGCAGCCAGGAGTCGGTGCACGAGAACGTCCGGGTATCGGCGGATCGGGGACGTAAAGTGCGTGTACATCGGAACGTTGAGAGCATAGTGGTGAAACTCTGCTTCGTCTTGCTTCATCCCTGTGCAGAAGTATTTTGCCAGCTATGGAAAAATGATAACCGTGTCAAACCTTGAGGATATTATGCAGAATGAATGAATGATAATAAAATTATGAAAAAAATAAATCAATTCTGAAATAAAACAAAATAATAAAAAAAACCTCACTTCCACATACAGGGTGTTAAGAAAGTTGTGCTCTATTGCAATATGCCTATAACCTCAGCAAAAAACAGAAGTCAGGAAAATTTTTTATGTACAATAACAAGGATAGTTAACTGATTTAGAATCACTTAATAGTTTTCATTATAGCCGCCCTTGGCACGGATGACAAAGTTCAGACGACCCATGAAAGCATCGACTGATTTTTGCAAGTCTTCCTGTGGAATTTGCTCCCATTCTCGGTTCAGGGATAGCTTGAGAGAATCCAAAGAACGGTGTTTTGTAGCACACACTTTGTGCACCAAGATGGACCAATTTGAAAAATCTAAATATGACGTTTTTCAAGCCACTCATCAAGTCAAGGGGCAGCTTCTGTAATGGCCTTGCATCAAGGGGCAGCTTCTGTAACGGTCTGGGCTCGGATAACTGCTTCTCGACACGCTCCGCTCGATTTGGAACCGAGAAGATGAAGGTCAATGCTGAAGTATACCAGAAAAGCATCCCAGAAGACTGCCTGGTTCCATGTGCCACAAATCAATTCAATGGAGGCAGCTGGGTCTTCCAGCAGGACTCAGCGCCAGCTCACAAGGTGCAGATGACCCAGGAGTGGCTGCAGAGAAGTGTCCCTGACTTCGTTTCGACTTCACAGTGGCCCCCTTTCACCCCCGATGTCAATCCCTTAGATTTTTTCATTTGGTTCATCTTGGAGAGCAAAGTATGTGCTACAAGACACCATTCTTTGGATTCTCTCAAACTAAACCCTGAACTGAGAATGGGAGCGAATTCCACAGGAAGACCTGCGAAAATCAGTCTATGCTTTTATGGGTTGTCTGAACCTCGACATCCATGCCAAGGGCAACCATATCGAAAACTATTAAGTGATTCTAAATCAGTTAACTGTCCTTGTTATTGTATAGGAAAAATGTTTCCCCATTTTCGTTTTTTTTGCTGAGGTTACAGGCATGTTGCAACGGGACACAACCTTCTTAACACCCTGTAAAATCTCATGAATAAATACAGGTCATATACTGGGAATAATTGAGAACACAATAACGACCAAGGGGATGTCGAAGTGCAAACCTGCATGGGCTTGGCAAAGAGGGAGACCAGAATGGCCAATCGAGCCTCGTTGAACTCCCCTTTCCCCGCGTACGCGTCGAGAGTGGTCTGGATGGCCGTCGACGAGGAGGTGTCGATCACGATCCCGTATGCCGCCAGGACCTCTCTCAGGTTCTCCAGCATGTTCTCCTGAGGTGGGACGTGATTCCGGAGGACGGCGACGTGGGGAAACGCCCGGTAGATCCGGTGGGCGGCAGCCATGTTGGCCAGCAGCATCAACTCCTCGATCAAGCGATTGCTCTCCTTCAGCTCGTAGACGAAAAACCCATTGGGCATCCCAGTGCCGTGGTCCAGCGTGAAGGAGAGCTTGGGCTGGTCCAGTCGGAGCGCACCGTTGCGAAATCGCCTCGCACGCAGTTTCTGACTGATGCCGTGCAACATCTTCACCTTCTCGTACACTTCTGCCAGGTCGTGACTCCCGGTCACGGGCGGGAAGGTGCATGCATCCAATTCCCGAAGGTCTCTCGCATCGATGATCGACTGCAAGCAAGGCCCGTGGCCATTTCATATGTATATCTCACAAGTAGTGCATTAATACATCTCGAAAAGTAAAATGGAAAGCAGTATTTAAGTGATCGATGTGATTAAAAACAACTACTGTAATTAGAGAGTACTTCCCCAGTTTAAAATCCCGGCTGGAAACAGCTACATTTTCCAACTGGGCTCTAGCTGGAAATGAGATTGAATTTACCAGCTGGAAATTAGTCTGGAAACATAAAAAAAAGTGATCCGATCCAGCTGGTATCCAGCTGGGTAGTAGATGGGTTTGACCAGTTGGAACACAGCTTGGAAGCAGACACCATTTCCAGCTGGTAACCAGCTGGA